ACTATCCAAAAATTTAATAAGCCCCAAGCAAAAGAAGTGTGAAAGAAAACCCCAAAGCACATGATAATCAAATTGCTTATGTGCGTGTTTTTTTTAAGTAGCCACAGAAAAGACATAGTATATACAAATGAACATACATGAGCATAACAGCAGATTTCTCATCATAAATAATTCAAGCAAAAACACAATGGAGTAATCTCTTAAAATACTAAAAGAAAAAACAAATACATTCTTCCAATTACCTTCAGAAATTACTTTAGGAAATCCAGGTACACAAAATATCTGACATGTATAATAAATTCTGAAAATGAAAAGCTTAGGATGAAAGACAACTTACTGAGCTCTGATAAAATTACATTGTAAGTATTAGGTAGTATGTATGCATTATTATTTCTACAGATGAAAAGTAGTTTACATACAATTTTATATAAACTGTATAATCCATCACACAAACAGAGCTGCTTATTTTCAAATGACAAAATGTTCTATCCAACTTAATTAAAAACTTTCCCTGGATTTGGACATGCCCCTTTGCAAAATTGGCCACTATTCTAATTCTCAGTCACCAATTAAAATCAACACAGCAAAATTATTGAAGACTGCATGCTGAAAAAAAAAACTAACAAAGAGATGGCCATATCTGTTTTAAGTACAAACTAACTTGACTTTTCACTACCAGCTTTCTTTAAATTACCCTGATACTTTTAAATTATGCCAGGCAAGGTGGTGCATGCCTTTGATTCTTAGTGGTTTGAATAGTGGAGACAAGCAAGTTCAAGGTCAGTCTCAGCAACTTGGCAAGGCCTTAAACAACTTAGTGAGACCCTGTCTAAAGATTCTTAAAACTTTTTAAAGAGTTGGGAATGTAACTCAATGGCAAATTGCCCATGGGTTAATCCCTAGTACCAAAAAAAAAAAAAAATTATGATGATCTTGTTCTAAAATCTATAAGAGTTAAGATTTAAGCATATGTAAATGCTCCCCACATAACTAAATATTTTGTTATATGTAAAATATTRTGTAAAGTAAATGTAAAAGATATTATGCCAGGATGTTTTAGTTTTTACTTCTGCCATTTAATTCAGTATGCAGTTTTCTCAGATCCTTTCATTCTCTCCTATAGCTATTCATCCATTCTCTACTCTCCCCTTTCTCCCATCACCCCATCACTCCTCCTTCCTATACACTCACCCCAAAAGAATTACCATTACTTTCTCACACACAAGACATTAGTGTGGGATGGGAATATGGCTAAGAGATAGGATATGACTCTTCCCTTAAAGCAGAACATAATCGTCGATCAGGCCAAGTCAACATGTCTCCCTGCTAGCTGAGACAGAAATGTAAGACAGACATGATCCACTACAGMAGGAAATAAAATTCATCCTGGCAAGAGCTGGGAGGATCTATCTACAGGAAGATGTGGAAATCTCATATCAAAAAGGTAAGATTATTATAATCGATAAACATGTCTGCTATTGTCCCAATTATACAAATAGAACAGAACAAAACTTAATTAGATAACAAGTAAATTCTCAAAGTCAACCAAATAAAAGAAGGGTTGAAAGATTAAAAATAGGTTATTTTACCTTAAAATTTTGTCTTGCTGCATCATATAAATCAGAAGAGTGTGAAAACTGTTTACCTATGGTAATATTTGCATAGCTAAGGAAGGGAAATAAGTAATGGTGACTTCAGGGTTCAGAAAGTTTATTAAATTTTAAAACATGATATGAAAACATTAAAAATATCTTACCCATATCCGGTTCCTTTCTTTCCTGGGTTTGTGTATAAATTCTTTCCTGGTGGCATATATTGTTCCCTGGGTTTGGCCTGTGCACTGAAGGATGGGACTGGACCACCTATTGTTCCATAGTAGCTTCCCAGTCCACATCTTAAATACAGTTATTTTTTAAAAGGAAGAGGTTAAAATGGCTAACTTAATGTTACATGTATTTTCGTATAATTTTTTTAAATATTGAAAAAGGAGGAAAATAGGTGCTTGAGTAACTCCAGTAAGAAAAAAAAAATCAAGTTTTTTAGTATTTAACTTGATTTTCCTCATTTTCAAGGTTATAAATTCCAAGATATGATTTAACATTTTTATATTTATTTCAAATGTTCCATAAATACAATTTCACAATCTTTAGTTAGAATAATCCCCATCCATTCAGAAATTACATAAATCTCTAGGCACCTTAATGCAAGTTAGCTAACAAATGGTGAATGTCTTGATCATCCACTCCTTTAAAAATACACTTTCAAAACTACATATTTGAAACTATGTTTCACTGCTGATAATAAAGTGAATCTTATGGAATTTTGGTGTTAATTTCTTTTTTCTTTTTGGTTTACACTTATTACTGTAGGAAAAAAATTAACCAATCTTTTCTTCAATTTTAATGTTAGATTTTTTTCTAGGCACACAATAGCTAATCCAACTATTTATTGCTCAGCCCTTTATTATTTTCACAAATGTTTTCTTTAAATTTTGCACAATCAAAAGGATAACTACAGCTAATGAGTTATCATTGAAGTAAACAAATTGTAATCATCAGAAAATGGAACATTGTTACAAGAAGATGACACTATGCATTCATGTTTAAATTTCAAAAATCAGAAAAACATAAACATTGATTACTCATGATCTCCAGCCTACAAATAAAGGTTCCAATTAAGAGATATTACTTATTTTCATTAATCCTTCCTTATGAACATATGTCATACATTCTAAAATACAATAAGGAAGTAGAGCAGTGATATTGCAGAGAAAAGGACAATTAATGAAAAGCATAATTTAACTAGAATGGGATGTAATGCCAACAATGTAAGTCACTACATTCAGAATTTATTAAATGCCTATAATCTGGAGGAGAGTGGATAGAGGAAGGCTGGATTTGATTCATACATGATGTATATATGTGTTGCAATATCATGCTGAACCAAATTAATATGTATAATTAACACATGCTAATCAAAAATAAAATATTTTTAAAGTCCAGCAGAGAGATTAATAAAATAATCATGAAGATAAAAATATGCCTATAAGAGTGGGGGATTTCCATAATTTGGTTTTGAATAAATGCCTATATGAGGGCTTCTTATGCTACCAATTTCTCTTTCTAGAAATACTTTTTGTCAGACTGGGGTTGTGGCTTAGTGGTAGAGCATTTGCCTTGAACATGTGAGGCACTGGGTTCAATCCTCAGCACCACATAAAAATAAAGATATAAAAAAAAGAAGTACTTTTTGTATGTCACTAAATTAGAGATTTTTTCACATATTTATAAGCTTTAAAATAAAGAGAAGCTAGTCTATTATCATATAATTGTTATTTCTTGGCTGGCAAATCAATATAAGCATGTTATGAACTAATGTATCAAGGTAGCAAAATTCTCAATTATTACCACCTGGGTTCATGTCGATCACAAGTGGGAAAAAAAGACTGAAAATCAGGAAAAACTTATTTAAAAAATAATATATATATATTACATGAAAAATGAATGAAATGTCTACAAATAAAAATAACACTTTTTAAAATTTATATCTAAGGAGAAATGAATAAGTCTACGAAACAGTGGTAATTTTAAATAGTAATAATATTCAAGTCTAAGTGTGAAAAGGAGAAAAGGTTAAAAAAAGAAGAAACTTAATGACTACAGCAAAGAAGAAATCCCCCACTCTTAATAAAGACAATAATTTTGGCTGAGAAGACAAGATTATCTGTTAGAATTAGAAGGATGACTAAGTTAAAGAAGTAGAGCTTCACTGTTCTCAAGAAAAATCAGCAAATTAAAAAACCAATAAAAGGGAGAACAGTAGAATAGAAGAAGAAGATGGGTAAGGAGGAGAGGGAAAGGGGAGGTACTGGGGAATGAAACRGATCAAATTATACTGTGCACATATGAATATAACAAATTCCACTCTTATGTATAATTATAAAGCATCAGTAAAAGGAAAAAAGAAAATACAGCAATGAAGCACAAAGTTAAGTTTTATCAATTCATACCTACCATCTATTTTGAATTGAGACATAGTATAACATACATGGTGTTACTTAGTAAGGTAATGTGATCTCATGGTAAGAAAAAAATATGCTTTCACATTGATAAGTTTTCAAAATTAAAATTTTATTAATCTCCATGAGTGTATCTTCATAGCAATTTAAAAATAATATATCTTTTTTTTAAAGAGAGAGAGAGAGAGAGAGAGAGAGAGAGAGAGAGAGAGAAAGTGAATTTTTTTTTTTGTAGATGGACACAACACAATGCCTTTATTTTTATGTGGTGCTGAGAATCGAACCCGGGTACCGCCCGTGCTAGGTGAACGCTCTACCACTGAGTCACAATCCTGGCCCCATAAATAATATATCTTTGATAAATTTTTTTTTTCAAAAGAGCATTTCTCCCATGCACATTTTTATTTATACTTTTTAAAAGTTTTTTAACAACAGAAAAAAATAGTCAAAAAAATAGAACAACTCAAGGCAATTCTTACCCCATTTGCAAGGTTTTTGAACAAATTATTTTCATTATTTAATGGCTTTTATTGTCTAAATACATAGAGAATAGTGACATAATAAAAAATTACTATGATAATGAGATTATATTTTAAATTATCTAAATCATCCAATATAGTTGTTTCCACCTAAAATAAACCATACAAAAAATCCTACTTAAAAAATTAATCTTCCTGGGCTGGAGTTATGGCTCAGGGGTAGAGTGCACGCCTAGCATGCAAGAGGCACTGGATTCGATCCTCAGCACCACCTAAATTTAAAATAAAGATATTGTGTCCAACTAAAGCTTAAGAATAAATATTTCTTAAAAATTAATTTTCCATAAGTAAGTCCTATAGAAAAATAAACATTTTCTTTAGATGAAAGAGATAAAGATGCAAGAGATATATTTAAAATTTCCCCCTCCCCCRCCTCCCAAAACACTTACGGTTTTTTATCTCCACTACTCGGGATAAAGGCTTTGGCAAGATTTTTTTTGGCTTCTTCCATCATATGCCGTCTTCTCACTTGATTTAGATTTACATAGCCTTCGCCTTCAAAAATCCTTGCAAATTGGGGATCAAAATAACCTGCCTGGAGATTTGACATTTCTTTGGTTCCCCCAGGTAGAATCTGTCTATTTTTGCTTGCAGCCTCATTAAAGGGTCCTTTAAAAATAAATTAGCCATACTATAAATTTGAGCTGACTAGTAATTAAGAACATGGAGAAAACAGAAAAGCTTCCAAATGTGATTTGTGCCAATTCTGGGTTTGAGCTCTAAAATAAATGTTGTTTAAAATGTTAACTGAAAGCTCTGTGTTAATGACTATATTGACATTAAGACCTGAGAGGATTCCATTAAAATGTTGAACATGATCCTTGTGATACACTGTGAATTCTGGAACTGAAAGAGACTTAATAGTTATTTTACCCAATGTTCCTCTGGCTACATACTAGGAAACTGTTTGCGTGCTTGTATGTAATGTCAATAAGAGCATGTGTGGAGGTTGAAGAGAAGGCTGGTATATGCTCAAGACGATGAGAGCTAATGTCCTCTAAAAAATATGAACAAAAATGTTCACAGTAGTTTCATTCTTAATAATTAAAAACAAGAAATAACTCAAATGTCTACCTATTGAACAGATTTTTGTGGCATTTCACATCAATATTTATAGCAGCACAATTCATAATAGCTAGACTATGGAACCAACCCAGGAGCCCTTTAACAGATGAACAAAGTATTACTCAGTCATGAAAAAAATGAATTTACATCATTTGCTGGTAAATGAATGGAACTGGAGACTATAATGCAAGTGAAATAAGCCAGACACAGAACGTCAAAGGTCAAATGTTGTCTCTGATATGAAGAAGCTATTCTAAAATAAGGGTAAAAGGAGGAGGGAGGGAGGGGGAGAGAGAGAAAGAGAAAAGAAATGGTAGGAATTTCATCAAAATAAAAGATCAGGGGAGATGAAGAATGGGAATGAGGAGTAGGGAGAGAATAAGGGGAAAACAGTGGAATGAATATGACCTAACTTTTTAATGTAAATATATGAAAACTACAGTGAATTTCACCACTATGTATATCCACAAAACATTAATATTTTTAAAAACATAAATAGATGAGTAGAGTAGAAGAAAGGGAASAGGGGGAGAGGGATGGAGGAGGGGAGGGTAAGGATAAGTACTGGGGACTGAATTGAAGCAATTTATAGTCCACCCATTTACAATTATGTCAAAATGAATCTTGACATAATGTATAACTATTATGAGTCAATTAAAAAATTGTAGCATTTCTACAATTGAAATACTAGCACAAATTTTTTGAAGGCTGCATTTGCAAATATTTAGATCTTTAATAATTTGGTCATAAGAGGGCTTAATTTAGGAAGTCTTTCCAAAATATGAAGAACTTGTTGAAGTGCATACAACCCTTATTTCAAGTTGAAATATAAATATAAATAAAATTMATATTTTATTGAAATATAAATTTTCATCACTGATTTTTTAATTTAAATTTTGAAAAGGTAACATTTTCAAATAGTTTCAAATTTGATAGTATAAACAGCCCCACAATAAATTTTCTTCCTGTACTGTTCCATGAAGTTCCTCTCCAATGGAACAGGCAGTGATATTAATTTTGTCTTCCAGAGAATGTCCAGACATGTTTGAGTGAATAGTCTATTTTAATATTTAACATAATAAATACACTGTTMCCAATCTTGTTTTTTTATTTAACAATTATTGCTGAAATGGCTACATATCTGTGCATTCTTTTTTGTCACACAGAAGTCACTGGACATCCAAATGTTTAAATGAGATATTAAAAGTATATATTTATTTTAAGTCTTTCTATTATGATTTTCCTAAAAATCCCCTCAGCTATTCATACAGCATTTCACTTTCCAGGAAAGTGATAATGGATAACCTTAGATGCACACTTAGAAAGAAGTAAAATCACCTATGAGGACAATAAATGAGTACAAGGTAGCCCAATAAAATGAGCTTCCCATTCTTATAAATTAAGTTCTCTCGTAGCTATTGCAATGTCACAAGTTAGTCAACTTTAGAGCTCAATACTTTAAAATACAGATCATTAAAATATCATTTTTAAGTTAAATTAAATGTTTAATTTAAAAATTTAGGTAATGATCACTAATTTGCCCATAAAGAGTACCCAATACRCTTACGATTAAATGGTGAGACATATTTATCACCAACAGTAATATATTCCATCTCACTGAAGAGGCCAATCCTCTCCATATCCGTTTTTCCTCCTTCTATAGGCATGGTTGCTTCTTACGGTGGTAACTTCAAAAGTTTCTTTCTTGTTGCTTCGTTTATAGCAAAAGCTTACTTTTACATTGAGAAAAGGGGGAGAGTAGCCAAAAAGCAATTATTAAATTTCAATCCACATTATTTTCAGTATAAGAGTTTTAATATTCACTATAAAACAACAGTCCCAAACTAAGTAGAGAGAAATCTACTCTGTGGAATACTAGAACACTAAGATTTAAAATTGTCTCTTGACTCTTCATGTAAAGTGCCCATAATTCCAAAGGAATGTGTGTGATATCATCTGCCATTTCTCTGTTGGAAATGATAAAATTATTACCATAAAGTGTACTATCAATATGTATAAACAATCTCCTTCATTTGAGAAGTTCAATGTAGATTCAAAATCATAATTATATAAGGTAAACATTTTGTAGTTTAAATGAGATCAGGCACATTCAGAGTGGTATGATCCCAGACTACAGATTTGATAGTTTACATTAAATGTTCCCCATATTGAAAATTATAACAGTTTTTCAGAATGCACACTGCATATAGGTCTTGCCCTGCTGACCTTGGGTTTTTTTCAAGTTCAAATTAGTATAAGAAATGTGCTACTCATAAAATTAGTTCCTAAAGAGAATGAGGGAGAGGACAATTGTTTAAGGCAAGATGGAAACACAAACAAAACAAAAAAATCCACAGTGAATTCTGAAGATTTGTTAAAAGGCAGACTGCAACTTTTTAAAATAATCACTTCAAACAAAGGAGAAATGTCACATTAAACATGGAAGTATTAACTCAAAAGAAAAACCAAAGAGCTAAAGAATACTTGCTTCCATTCATCTGTTATGGCTTGGATATGAAGTGTCCCCACAAAGCTCCTGTGTTAATGAAGGAATGTTCAGAGGTTAGATGATTGGATTGTGGTGGCTGAAACCTAATCAGTTCATCCTAGTTGGAATGTACTGGGTGGTAAATGTAGAGTGGGGCCATGGCTGGAGGAGATGGGTCACTGGGTTTGTGCCATGAAAGGGTTCATCTTCCCTGTGGCATCTTTCCCCCTCTATGCTTTCTGACCCCACTATATAAGCTTCCCCACAAGCCCCAAATAATCTTGTTCTCTAATAAACATTTCCTCCTCTAAGTTGTTTTTGTCAGGTATTGTCACAGAAAAGAAGCAAAGCTGATTAAAACATTACTCTAATGTTTTTGAGCTATTTATTTATTCATTTTTCTTGGTGCTAGGGATCAAATCCAGGGCCTTTCACATGTTAAGCAAGCACTCTACCACTGAGCTACATTCCCAATTTTTCTACGGAAAGTCTTTTTCCAGGGGTAGTATTGGGGAGAGAACTTAGGGCTTTTGTGAATGCCAGGCAAGTGTCTCCCATGAGCTACATTCCCAGCCTCTACATCTTTATGTATTTAAGCAACTATTAGGAAGTAGGCATTGGGCATACATTAGTGKGGGGGGGGAACTTTGGTTTATGCTTCTTGGTTTATAATCCAAGGTAAGAGTCTTTTATCTTTAATTTAAAGCAAGCTGTTTCAATGACTCAGCAAGCTTCCCTATTTGGAACTGTGCTTATCTGTGTATGAATCATTACTTAATGTGTAACATCAAAGGCCTAAGTGAAGATTCAGCCTAAAAATACAGCTTGAGAAAATACAACACACTTTCCCCATCCCACCTCTTCTTCTGATCAGGTATGCCTGGAGACTACACATCAGTCATTGGGGGTGTACTATATGGTTTACAGTTTATTTCAAGCTCCACCCCAACTGCCCAACTAACTAGTATCCTGTGCTGCTACAGGGGTTCAAATCCTTAATGTGGCCCACCAAGTCCATTATCGGCCAGCCTCATTAGTCACCACCGGAACCTACTCCCTGGATACTTGGCTGCACTTGTCTAATTTTCAGGTTGGGCTTTCTCGCCCACAGTCGCCAGTGCATGTTTCATTTTGGTATGTGAACCCCTTTCTTTCTGTCACCCCAATAAAACACTGATCTTCCTATTGCTCAGTTTGTTCATCATTTCTCTAATACCCCTCATCATAGCTGCATGTACATCTCCTTCCACGCCTTCATCATGTTATCTAATAGGTCAACATTTTCTATTTTTGGTGTAGGAATTCTTTGTTTTCCCCATTTTGTTTCAACTAAAACGCTGACTCCACAAGACAGGAACTGTGATATGAGTTTGGTTCATCTTCACCAATTTTTTTTTTTTTTTTAAAGAGAGGAGAGAGAGAGAGAGAGAGAGAGAGAGAGAGAGAGAGAGAGAGAATTTTTAATATTTGTTTTTTAGTTCTCGGCGGACACAACATCTTTGTTGGTATGTGGTGCTGAGGATCGAACCCGGGCCGCACGCATGCCAGGCGAGCGCGCTACCGCTGAGCCACATCCCCAGCCCCATCTTCACCAATTTTTTTGAGAGGGAAGTCCTCCTTTGTTGCCAGGGCTGGATTCAAAACTCTTAGACTCAAGGAATCCTCCTGCCTCAGCCTTCCAGTAGCTGGGATTGCAGGTGCATGCTACCTCCAATGGCTAATTTGGTTCATTATTGTGCTATTATTCCCAGGACACAGGATCTGGCACCCAGTCAAGTGAGCCACAGAGCAGGGGAAGGAGAAAAGTTCTTGCCCTTAACTTTCTCACTACTTAACTCTTCTTGAGCTACAGTTACAAAATCATTCATTCATTCATTTAACAAATACTTGGCAAATCCCTCCTCCACCGGGTAAGGCTCGCTGGTAATAGCGAGGAAAACTGAAACCTAAAAAAGGAATAGATCCTACCGCCCCTCCCCGCCCCGCCCGGAGCTGACAATCTGCTAAGGAAGAAAATAAGTATAAGGCAAGTGGAATGCGGCAGGTTCTCTTCAAAAGGCATGGACAAAGTGCATAGGGGGATGAAGAAGGAGCAGAAAACTTCTGGCTGAGGCGATGACGAAATTATTTCCCATTAGGAATAAGAAGSCTTGGAGTAGACAGGTATCTAGGGGACAACACCTGGTGTCTGCGAGGAACAAGTCACCTCTCCGAAGGGCACCTGATCCGACAACCAAGATCAGATCGTCCCAGCTCCGGTCCGGATTTACTGCGCTGCAGGAGCAACTAGGCTCCGCGTCGCCCTCCCGCGAGCTAGGGATTCCCGCCGGGCATGCAGGCTGCGAAAAGACTCCGCACGTTCGGCGCACCGCTGGGACTTATTGTGCTGCGTTGCCCGGGGTACGGGAGAAACTATTCCAAGTAGACTAAGGGAGGACACGAGGAGAGTTCCAATCCGCATCGAAAAACACACGGGACGACTTGTGAGGGTCTGTAGGATACAAAAGACTCAATCAATCCAATATATCGAAAAAAGTCTTTGGTTTCCCATCCTTCTAGCCATCGGCGAGGAGATGTAAAGTGGTACGTTCTGTGACGTATTGCTGCCGGGCATGCTGGGAATTGTAGTCCCCCTCCCAAGCCCTACCCTTTGGCCAGCGATGACGCCACTTCCTGGCCGGCCCCAGATCCTCTAGGCAGAAGTAGACGTCCGTGTCACCCCCACGTCGTGGAAATGGTAAGCGCTTCTGCTCGTCACCGACCCCTGCGTTTCCCCTCCGACTTGGACAGCCCGGGTCCGAGCCCCTGAAGGGAGACGGGCTCCCTGGCCCTCGATGGTCGCTGCAAACTACGTTGTCTGGAGTCTGCAGCCTGGGCCTCTCTCCCAGCTGCAGCCAGAGGGAATCTGTCCACTAACTCTTGCACCCTCGGCTCAGCCACGTTGGGATACTCGCTCCCTGCCTCTCCTCCTTGTGATTTTTTTTTTTTTTTTTTTTTTAGAATGAGGCATTATTCGTCGTATTTGAAGACTATTAAGAAAGAAGATTTTGAGCTAGGAAAGAGGAATAGCTGTTCAAATAAATACTCTGTTCCCTTAGCTTCGGTGTTGCACTCTCCTGGTTTCCTTCCTGTCTCATAGCTCAGCCAGGTCCTCCAATCCCTATCCTAGATTAACAGGAACACTTTACATCCTATGCTTTCTCCCAATTTTGTATCTCCCGCTTAGTCCTTTCTTTTGAGCTCCAGATTCATAAATCTGCTAACGGTGCCTCCACTTGGATTGCTCATATGTATTTCAAACCCTGCAGGTTCAAAATTGACTCATCATTTTCACCTCCCTCACTTCACATCTGCCCTTACTCCAGGAATTCCCATCTCTGCACATGACACCACAATCCACCTGCCAGCCAAAAACTTGGAAATTACCCTTAACACCTTCCTTTTCTCAAATGAATGTCCAATCCATAATCAAGTCCTATAGATTCTACTTCTAATTGCCTGTCCGTTGTCACTCTCTCCACTCTTGCCATCCTTGTCCGTGCCACTGTTAGTTCTATCCATCTAGGATAGTCTCCTAAGTCGTCTTTTAAGGAGGCTTTCATGAGTCCATGCCCTTGTTGGAATGGGCTCTTCTATCTCCAACCCCACTCTGTTCCTCTAGAAGTGTTAATACTTCTGCTACTCCTACCTACTCAACTGTCACATCTTAGCTTAAATATTATTTCTTCAGAGAGGATCTTGATTCAGAAGTCCAGGGAGACTTACGTTTTTTCACATATGGAATGTTCATGACAACCCTTCTTATCCCAGTTTTACAGAAGAGAAATAGACTTGAGCAATTAAACTGGGCAAAGTCATGCAGTAAGTAGCAGAATTAAAATCTGCTCTTGCCTGTCTTTTTACCTTCTTTTTAAAAATATTTTTTACTCAAATGTCCATACACTGTTTGTATGGTAGTATTGATCTTTATATAACCAACTTCTTACTGAGAGCTACTTTAGTGGTTTCTTCCCCCCTCCCTTTCTTCTTCTTCTTCTTCTTCCTCCTCCTCCTCCTCCTCCTCCTCCTCCCCCTCCTCCCCCTCCTCCTCCCCCCCTCCTCCTCCTCCTCCTCCACAGCAGTAAGATAAATGGACAACAGTGAAGCTGAATATGCCCTGAACTTTCTTGATTATTTCCTTAGAATAAATTCCCAGAAGCAGAATTGGGACAAAGGGTGGGATCTTTCAACAGGTTACAATTTTTAGAATAAATAAAAGCAGTTACTCTTAAAGAAAAACAACAAGGTATTTGTGAAGTGAGAAAAAGTTGTAATGGTACCTACTTTATGTTCTGAGGATCAATGTCCGCAGTCGATGTCAGTATCTATTTAATTCCAAATACGGTTCTCACTGTGCAGTATGATTTTTCAGCCTGATTAAGACATATTTTGAGAATATGACAAAATCTTTGAAACCTCTCCTCAAAAGCAAGCTCTCCCTCTTCCCACTCCCTACCTTTGCTGGTGTCTTTTGGTCACTCTCTCACACACAGTAATAAAGTTTGTTTGTCATATATCATCATTGACTACCTGGAACTTGGCATATGTACCCAAGTTAAGAACTGTTGATCATTTCCATTTTGCAAGTTCTCCTCCCTCTGCATGTTCCACATTGCAAGTGTTATCCCATGCCATTTAAATTCTATTTTAAGTGGTTTTTATAGTTGTATGATATTCATAATTATTTAACCAATCTTCTGTTGGTGGTAATTAGGTTAAAATACCCTAATTTTTTTGTGTTTTGCAGATTTTCTTATTAGAGTAAATTTCTATCTGCAGAACCACTAGTCCAAAGATGGGACTATAAAAGGCTTAGATTCTTTTTTTAAGTGTATTTTTTTTTTAGTTGTAGATAGACACAATATCTTTATTTTGTTTATTAATTTTTATGTGGTGCTGAGGATTGAACTCAGTGCCTCACACATGCTAGGTGAATGCTCTGCCACTGAGCCACAACCCCAGCTCAAAAAGCTTTGATTCTTATTGCCACCTTCTAAGAAGAGTTTCCAGTTTATACTGACACCATCAATGATTTGTTAGTTTCCTCTCATTGTCTTGTCCACCAGGTGTCATCAGATTACGTTCAGTTTTCTTATTCTATTCTTAAACTGGTTCTTTACCATTTATGTTTTCATGTTGTTGTTAAATCCCTCAAGATTATAACTTAGAAATATCATCTTAAAACTGTAGTTCTCAGCCTTTTTTTGCACATTAGAATCACGGGCATGGGGGCAGAGGAAGCTTTTAAATATCCTTTTGCCTATGTCTAACTTAGACCAATTGATAATAATTTCTGGGGGTGCAACCCAAGTATCAAAATTTTAAGTTCCCCAGGTGATTTAAGTATGGAAGGTTGAAAACCCTTGATTTAAAATTTAGGGATGTTAAGGTTTGGATATTAGGTATTGAATGTGTTCCTAGTCCCTTCGTGATCAATGGTCACTCAGCTACCTTGTCTCTGGGGGATAGAGACGTGGAATCAGCACACAGACTCCAGGAGCTGGTGAATGAACTGGCTGGAGACCCATCTCAGGTCGTTGTCCAGTAGCTCAGTTTATTTTTGGAATGCACATAACGGTTATAGGGTTTGAGTGGGGCGTGCCTGTCAATCATACATAGGCAAGACAATATCCATAAGCCAATCATCTTCTGCCTAATGTAACCRCACTGTGAGGAAACTCTAAATATTGCTGTCGTGGCAGAAAGCAATCTGGAAGGGTCTTTAACCCTTACTGAGTCAGGGGTTCCATGCCCTGAAGCCCCTGACTCTCAGTTTCTTAGTGAGGCAGTTTGGCAATGCTAACCACAAGTGCTGAGGATGTGGTTTCACCCCATCCTGCAGGCGCTCCTGTCAGGCCTGAAGAAAGGTGGTATTTCAGGCATTTCCGAGCTGCTAGTAGCTGCTAGCTGAGACTGAAACTTATTCCAACAAGGTATCCCCCAAAAAGCTCATGTTAGGCAAGATAGGAATGTTCAAAGGTGAAATGAGTAGATTAATGAGAGTTGTAACTTAATGGGTGGATTAACCCACTTGGTAGTTTAATAATTTGGATATATTCCTGGGTGGTATCTATAGGCAGGTGGGACATGGCTGGAAGAAGTAGATTATGTTTTGTCATTAGCATCTTAAGTGCCTATGTGCTGTCTCTCCTTTCTGGCTGCCATGAGCTGAGCAGCTTTCCTCTGCAAAACCCTTTTTCCCATGATATTTTGCCTCATCTCGGGCCAAGAGCAATGGAGTCTACTGACCAACCAGAAACTGAACATCTGAAACCCTGACCCCAAAATAAACTTTTCCTCCTCTAAGTTGTTTTTGTCAGATATTTCGGTCACAGCTATGAAAAGCTGATTAAACACAAGGCATCRCATTTTATTTTACTCCATAAAACAAGGAACTAATTCAAGAAATAATCCAAAGATTCAAGCTTAATTAATGCCTTACTCTAAAGTCTAATAGATTCTAATTTATTTGAGGATGGGTATGTTTTGCTTCATAAGGGAATTTTTGTTTTATTCTAGGTAATTTCAGAAACTATGGATATACTCTTCAGAATAAGAGGAGGCCTTGATCTGGCTTTCCAGCTACCAACTGCTAATGGTAGGTGTTGAGAAAACTTCTACCTTTTTATCATAAAATTAATGATAAAATATACTGAGATTCCATTTGGCAGATGAAAACAAGTGAAAGACAGGTTAAATGAACTAAGGTTATATATTTAGTAAGTGAATTAAATAGTATTTAAACTTAAACTTAAAGGTTATAGCACCTTTACCAGTCCATAGGTACCTCTGTGGCAATTAAAAAAAAAAAAAGTCCGCTCCTTCCCTTAGGGAATTTTTATGCCTCTTGCAGAAAATTATTACAATAAACATAAATATTGCCAATGAGTATAGTGTACGTAATACATCCAGAGCCTAATGTAAATAATAAATCTAATACATTTGTACATTTTAGACTTGCAACTATACATAACCTCACATCTCCAGACCCTACTTTTTAAAATACTATTATAATAGTATAAGAAAGTCCATAGGAGAAAAATCAATGGGGTTTGTATAAAACAAGTTCTAGGATGTCGTCCTGCTTCTGACTTGGACTACTGCCATAAACAAAGATAAAGAATACCAGAGGAGGAATGTGATGAATTGAGTTTGAGAATTTCAAGATGCTTATGGGACATTAAGTGCAGATTCCCAACAGACATTTGTCTGAAACTTAGGGGAAAGTGGTCAGAATTGGAGCTAAGGAATGTGATGTCCATAAAAGATGATAGCTAATACCTTGATAATAAATGAAATCACTCATTAAAAGTATGATCAATTATATTACAGCCACACAGAGGTTCAGAAAGATAAGAAATGAAAAGTGTAGGAGGAATGAAGACTTAACTGCTAATAGTGATGGGATTTCTTTGTAGGGTCATGAAAATTTTATAGAATTGGTGATGATTGTAAAACCTTGGGAATATATTAAAAGCCACCTATTTTAAAAGAATGAATTTTATGGTTTGTAAATTTTATCTCAATTTTAAACAAATAGAAAGGCAAAAATATTTGTTATAATTAATGGAAATGGGTATTTGAGAGTCAGTTTCACTGTGTTTTACTTTCCTGTGTATTTGAAAGAATTCAGATTGAAAAATCTAATATTTTTCTTACCTTTTACATATTCTTTTAATTTAGAAATTTTTATCAAGAAGGCGTTAAAACGTGTATTGAGTGACCTGTCRAAAAAGCTTTCTTCAAATGCACTTGTATTCAGAATTTGCCATAGTTCAGTGTATGTATGGCCTAATAGTGACATAAACACCATTCCAGGAGAACTGACTGATAGCTCTGCTTGTAAGAACATAATGCGCTTTATTAAGTAAGTACATTTAAAGATTTCTAGAAATTTTTTCAAAACATCACTTCATATTTTTAAATGTATCTGTGTATCAAAAATTTTAGATCTGAGCAGGAAGAAGATACAAAACGAAAATTCATGAGAAAGAAAGACAAAAAATTATCAGATATGGTAAGCAAATCACTTGTCTTCTTTATTAATAAAAATATTAAATCTTCAAATTTGGAGCTAAGATCTTATAGATAGTTTAATCTAACCTTATTTTTATAGGTCAGAACATTGAGTTTCAAAAAGATTTTGTGTCTGTTTCACATATCTAAACTTTATCTCACTATAATACTTATCTTGGAAATTTTTTTTAATGCTTTCTTTGTTTTCACAAAAATAAGATAGACTTGAATACTTTTACAAGTCATTTAAAAGTAAATAGAAGTACATAAAAATACTCATTCTTACAAATGACAAAGGGACACATTATGACATGTAAAATAATGAATGCTAAAGGATTTCTTGTTCTTCACACTGTTTTTTGTTCTACTGATTTTCGCACCAGTATTACTGTTACCTGCCATATTCCACAAATTTTTCCAGAGATGAAAAATGGAAACACTTCTTCCAGGGTACAAAGTTAGAGTGACTATAGTGTTTTTTTAATCTGATTGGTGGACAATGGGTGCCTATGAGATTAGCGAGACCTTATTAAACCACCAGTTATGAGAATAGAGAAGAAAAAGTGGATACAAAAGATATTTAGAGTATACAATGGATTGTATTTGGAAATTGATTGGATATGGCACAGCCAGTTTCTTACTTGAGAAAAAATGGAAAKTGATGAAGACATAAGGTCATTGTGGGTATGTTTGACAGAAGTAAGACACAGACGAGCTATTAAATTTACAAATGTGATGTGCACAAAAAATTGTGAGGTGGAGATTGATTTGAAAATTATCAATAGTTAGAACGTGACGTTTTGAGTAGTACATGTCAGTTATTTCAAAGTATATTCCCTGATTTGAGTTTGTTTTTATGCTTTCTGGTCATTAGATTCCTGTATTATAGTCAGGAATATCACTGAAGAGATATTATGTCCTTTCCAGTATAGTGTACTAAAGAGGCAGATGCTATCAATTTGTTCTAATTCTTAGTGATGTTAGCTTTCATCACTTACTTAAGATGGTATCTACTAGTTTTCTCTGTGGTAAAGGTACTATGTATTCCATTATGATTAATATCCCACGAGAGAGTACTTCTAATCTAGCTCTTAATCGCCATTGTTAAATTTCACCAGAATCCAATATGATGCTTACAATCTGGTGTTTTTTCTATGGTTTCCTTCTGCATATATTAGATAGCATTGTACTATAAGGAAGAGTCCGCCTGCCCCCAATCCCTCTTTATTTTTTTCTCATTTTCATGAAGCTTAGATTCTTATTTTATGAAATGGACTATAATCTGGTACTATCACTAGTTATTTTGACACTTATATTTTCTAAGATTTGACCAATAGAAGCACCTTCAAACCTCCTCTGTTGTCTTTTTGCAATTATATTTTTGAGCACTCCTTTCTGTCTTCTGTAAGATAGTCCAGGTGCAACATATTCTTTCCCTGTTCCAGCTCAGGAATCAGTCATTCTTCATGGAGTATGCATATATATATATAGATACAAACGGGCATATCTATCAGTGTAAGTAATATTGATTCCTTCAATACCACTTCAATTCCACCAAGTTATCAACAACTCCCAATGAGAAGCTTGACTGCCAGTATCCTCAGCATTTTGCAAAATTTGTTCAGACACAGAAAATAGTTTTAGACTGCAAAAATCAATCCTAGTAAATACAGCTGAACATTTGATTATAGGTCTGTATGTATTTAAACCAGGGGTATATAGTCAAAGTTCCTTTTGTGTGAAGTTATCTTATGGTGTTTGTTTGAATTTTTTAACAATTAAAATCCATACAAAAGTTGAGAGACTAGTATAATGAACCACGGTGAATCTATACCTAGCATTAACATTGTGTCAACACATGACCAGTCTGATTTCATCTTTGCTTCCTATCCACTCTCCCTCTTTGCCCAGATTATTTTGAAGCAAAAAGAAATTTCTTAAGATTTGTACTTTTAAACAATTCACTGCAACTTTATGTATTATCCTTAAAAAAAAAAGGTCCTTTTACTTATCCTTCATATTTTGGGCGTAATGTTCAATAAGTTGACATTGYTGTTTATCTATAGCATCAAATAGTAAACATAGATCTTATGCTGGAAATGTCAACCTCTCTGGCCGCTGTAACCCCCATCATTGAAAGGGAAAGTGGAGGACATCACTATGTGAATATGACCTTGCCAGTCGATGCAGTTCTGTCTGTTTCTCCAGAAGAAACATGGGGAAAGTAAGTATTTTTATACTATTACTGCCACATTTAAATGAAGACCCTTCCTGCAAAGTAATCAGAGCCCATTTTTAGATATTAGAATGGCATGTTTGAGAGGTTGTTGTTTTTACTATGATTTACTCCTTGTTTATTATCAACCAAAGAGTCACCTAGTAATTATTTATTTGGAGAAAGTAGGGTAGCATGCCAAAAACTAGAGGGTTTCCCTTTATCCACACAGAGGGAAAATACARTTTCTTTTACTTGACATGATTTAGACTTCTTTTAACAAACCTGATCCAGACTTGTTTTAACTAACCTGATCCAATCAAGTTTTTACTATGGTAGAGATATATTAGCTCTACACTTTGATTCAGTGGCCATTAAGACTTTTGTTAATACACTTGTGTATTTCCTCCCCCCGCAGAGTTCGTAAACTTCTAGTGGATACAATTCATAATCAACTAACTGATATGGAAAAATGCATTTTGAGATATATGAAAGAAACATCTATCGTGGTACCTGAACCATTGCACTTTTTATTACCAGGAGAAAAAGGTCTCGTAACAATTTCATATCCATCAGGAATTCCAGATGGCCAGCTGCAGGCCTATAGAAAGGTAAAATCAATTCATTTATTCTTGAAAAAGACAATGACCATTGTTCATGTTATATTTATTTATGTATTTCCAGTAAAAGGAAATTATTTTGTAATTTACCTTAAAAGTATGGAAATAAATTATTATTTTTATATTATTTAATTTCTGTTTTCATGGAACTTTTTTTTTGTATTACTAATGAAAAAATATTGTGCTGGTTATATTTTAATTTCAAATGCTCCATTTGGTTCATACATTCTATGGAATTTTTATAATTTTTCTATAATGAAATGCGGAAATGAAAAGATGTAGCATGTTTAGATTAGCTGATGATTGTTAACAAATTGCCTTTCCCTTCTGTTACTTCCAGATTTGTGGGGAAAAAATAAATAAAACAAGATTACAGTTAAGGAAGGAACGTTAGAATTTATGCAAATGCTGATTATCATCTATGATAATACTTTACCTTAGGTAGGGTTATTAGGTTTTATTAGATGAATTTGGATAAAAACATAACTAGCATTTAAAGAAATTAGATTTATTGGTAAAAATGACTATTTTTTTAAGTGTATCTTTTTGATATGTGGCCTTGCCTATAACCCATCAAATTGTATTATGGGGCCATTTTCCTAAAATCTATCCCTAAGAAGTAGTGTAATATTCTAACCCTGTATACCTCTCTGTAAATGCAAGGTGAATTGATTTGCAGAGGTAACATCTATCCAAGGTGGTCTTTTCAAATACTAGAGTACATAGGAGTGATGTCAGAGTTTTAAAAGTAACCATTACATGTTTTTTAATACAGTTGAGAAAATATCACATTTTAAACATGTACATATATTTTTATTTTCATGCCGTTTTGGTTGGTTTAATACCACCAACTTCTACTCTATAATTTAATCAGTACCCTTTATGTTTGTAAAGTGCTCTTAACATGATTTTTCAAAATACTTTGATCTAGTTTTATCTTTGTCAAATATAATTTGTTTTACATCTTTATTTATTGACAAAGAATTTTAATCATTAACTTTTTTCTTTGTTGATTCTGATTTCATTTAGGAGTTACATGATCTCTTCAATTTGCCATGTGACAGACCTTATTTCAAAAGGTCTAATGCTTATCACTTTCCAGATGAGCCATACAAAGATGGTTACATTAGAAATCCACATACTTATCTTAATCCACCTAACATAGAAGCCCATATGGTGAGTTTTAACTAATTGCATGTAAGAGTCATTTGATCATTTGCCTCATTTATTTTTTGTTGGTACCCARGAGAAGTTTTAAGGATTAATTCATAATATATGTCATCCCTAAAAAAATAATTTATCACCTATTTCTTTGAACAGTCCTTAAGATAGCAGTAATTAACATAATTATGACCTGAGAGTGGAGAGTATATACCACATTTCTCTTACTCAAATTTCATTCCTTGATTTCTTTGAAGGTTTGTTCCATTTTTTTCATTCTGAAACTGCAAAATCATTCTAATTAAGGGCATATCTGCACAAACCACACTGAAGGATACATTTGGCAACTTTTTGGTCTTATTTTCTACATGTCATCTACCTGGTTATAAGGGATAGATTCTCACATAAAGGATAGATTCTCCCTTAAATAAAAGGGATGGAGAAAGGAGTTAAAAATACATGTAGACCAATGAGAAATAGGAATAGGAGCACAGCTGGCCCTCTTAAAACAAAGGAACCCTGAGACTGGTAGCTGTCCCGGTGTTTCTCAAGTCCTACATGGACTCCTTGATGGCTATTCTGTTGCTTTCTATGTGTCTGTTTTTGATCCTGAGTGGCYTGTTCTATCTTTTCTCAGTTTCATACCTTCTGTATCCTCATTGTTTCAGTTTGTGTAGGACTTTTTCCTAACCTTCCTCTTAACTGCTCAGTGTGTGCTTCATTTCAACTTCATTACCTGCTCCTTACTGGTTCACTCTGTACTTCTCAATTCAGATTCCCAAAAGAAGGAAAATTTAACTGGCTGTCTTTTCATGACAATTATTMAGCACCTTCTGAGTGTCCAGGGGCTTTTGTAAGAAAATCTGAAGAACTAAAATTGAATATATGATACAATAGGGGCCTACTTTTAGTCTTATCCATCTGAATGCACTTAGCTCCATCAGAACGGTGGACACACCAGCTTCTCCTAGAAAGAACTCTGAGCACTCACTGTTACATGTACATACAAGAGTCTTTAGAGAGCATTTCAGGGTTATTAAATGACTCGCTTATTTTGAAAAGATGGGAAGAAATCTTGAGACCTATTCCTTGTTAAAAATCTTGCTCTGTCACAGACATAGAATCATAGAATAGGAAGTATAAAACAGAGTTTTATACTTTTTGTTGAGACAAAAAGTAAAACTCTTGATGGTTTTTCTAGTAGATGAAACATAAATGTTTTCTCTCTCAGACTATATTCAGAACTCCTCCAGGGTAGGTATTATATCATATATTCTCTTTTAATTCTTTAAATTAGAAAACTTTGACACTCAAAATACTAAGTGAATACTGATATATTTGTGACAATGAAATTCCTTATCTGTATTACAAAGGAGCCAGAAGCATTGATAATAATTTTTAAATATTTATTATATAATATTTTATATGTACATATAATACATATGTAAAATGTATAGCATAGCAAGGAAATGAGTACCGAGGAGCCCCTACTTATTTAAGCACTAGAACATTATCAGTCTGACAGAGCACTCCTTCCTTTTTCACTCCCTGCCTCCACAACAGTTCCAAGAAGGATTCTTACACAGTTGACCCTCCATATCCATGGTTGTGCATCTGTGGACTCAGTCAACACCCTGATCAAAATTATKTTGGGGAAAAAATTATGTCAGTACTGAACAGTCTTTTATTTCACAAGCAATTCAATTGTTTTAGAAAATAATATTGGTTTATAAAAAAAGATGTGCATTCTTAGCATTATACTACAACTAAAAATTTTATAATATCAAYCTTTATTTTAGAGTTATTAAATAACACCCTGGGATGTTTATAAAATGCAGAAGCATTTTATGAATCCTTCACTTATTTGTTTATACATTCCTTTAGTCCTTCATTYATTCATTTAGGCAGATCATCRTKTATTCAACAACATTTGTATCAATTGAATGCCCAGTCTGTTATAAAAGCAATGTTAAGTTAAACATCAAATAGTGATATGCTTCRGAATAAAGTAGGCTAAAGATGATGTCCAGGGCAGAAGACAGGTGGTGAGAGTGAGCATGCCATCTTTAGGTTGGATGRTCAGGGAAGTCTCTGACAACTTAATGGAAACCTGAGTGGAAGAAGGGTGAAGCTATAAAATTATTTGGGTAAATAGTTTTTCTATCCAAAAGAACCTTAAGGCTCTGAGGTCAGATTATCCCTGGTGTATTTGAACCCAAACCAGATGAAGAAATAGGGGAAAGCAAAGGAGATGAAGTTGGAAAGGAGACCACTGTTGGGTCCACTGTTGAGGAACTTTGGTTTTTAATAAAATCAAGAAAGAGGGTATAATGTTAAGCCATAGTTCTGTGAAGGTATATTTATTTATTTATTTTTCTAATTTGTTATATATACCAGCAAAGTGCATTACAATTCACATATTACACATATACAGCACAATTTTTCATGTCTCTGGTTATATACAAAGTATATTCACACCATTCATGTCTTCATACATGTACTTAGGGTAATGATGTCCATCTCATTCCACCGTCTTTTCTACCCCCAGGCCCCTTCCTTTCCCCTCCCACCTCTTTGTCCTATCTAGAGTTCATCTAATCCTCCCCTGCTCCCCCTCCCAACCCCACTATGAATCAGCCTCCTTATATCAGAGAAAACATTTGGCATTTGGTTTTTGGGGATTGACTATTTTTACAAGGTTCTAAAGCAATAGTCAGAACAGTAAACATGCCTCAGGCATATGTATAAAATATGTACTTCTATCTTAAGTTAATATTGTGTTATATTTCTTCTTTTTATATAGATTTATGTGGTCCAGGGCATATATGGTTATCACCATTATATGCAGGATCGGATAGATGACAATGGCTGGGGCTGTGCCTACCGATCGCTGCAGACTATCTGCTCTTGGTTCAGACATCAGGGWTACACAGAGAGAGCCATTCCAACACACAGGGAAATTCAGCAGGTACTAAACACCCCATTTTAAATTATAAGCAAGTATATGTTTTATTAGCCATTAATAATTTAATATAATACYATTAATAATTTTTATTGCCCTGTGGTGTAGACATATTGTTATTTGGAAGGAAAAAAAAATTCCCATACTGGTAATTAGAGAAAATACCCTAAATGTAATTTTTAATAGTTGTCATGTATATGGATTTTTTTATATTTTTAAACACATAAAGGCTCTAGTTGATGCCGGTGACAAACCAGCAACATTTGTCGGATCACGGCAATGGATTGGATCTATTGAGGTACAGCTGGTACTAAACCAATTGATTGGTATAACTTCAAAAATATTGTTTGTCAGGTAAGAACACTTTAAGAAATTAGGTAAATCATTTCAAAGTGACAGTTTGTCATTTTTATTAAAATAATTTTAAAAATTATATATTTTCCCCTATTTATTTTCACTCCTTTCTCTTTCTCCTTACTTTATAAGTTTCATTTTTTAACCCTAAATTTTTTTATTTGCTCTTAGAAGACTTTTGAGTTTACAAATAAACTGTGGTATATACCTTCATTGTCTAAATTTGTATTTTAGCCTATACAAAGAAAACTTACAAGTATTTTAACCTTTGTAATTACAAAGTCTAGTTTGGGGTATTTTTGTTTGTTTTTTGGTAACAGGGATTAAACTCAGGRGTGCTTAAACACTGAGCCATTTCCCCAGCCCTTTTCTATTTTTTATTTTGAAACAACATTCTGATAAGTTACCTAGGACCTAAGTTGCTTAGGCTGGCTTTGAACTTGTAATCTTCCTGCCTTAGCCTCCCAAGCTGTTGGGATTATAGGCATGAACCACCACATCCAGCAAMAGTCTGGTTTTTGAGTGCTTAATTCTTCAAAAAGTCTTGAAAGGACAAAATCAAATCTTGATCTGTGACTGACATTTTTGTTTGCCTCTTGCTCTTTTTCTAAGATATTAATAAACCATTAATGTGTCCAAATAATATACTTATCTTACAATTCTAGAGAATTCTATTATTAAAATGAGAAAATATAAATTAAGTTATATCACTTTCTCTAACCATAACTAGCTAACTCTATATTGTATGACCTCAGGTGTTTAAATGTATTTTTTAATTGATAACTATAGTTATAGTATCCTCATTATCAAGTGCTTTAATATGTCTGATTTCACAATTGGAATTTGGAATAGTTATGGAAATCACTGCTAAATAATGATAGATTAAGAAGCAAATAATTTTTTCAAGTGAGTTTTGGTACATTAAAACATTATTTATACATTCCCTATTAAGCCAAAAATTAAGGTGTAGCATCATCTGGCACCTCCAAAAAAAGTAAACACAAAAACAAAAACAAAAAAACATACTAATAGTGCCTGATTTATAATGGGCCAATTTATGATTTATTACTTTACAATGGCACAAATGCAATAACTCATTCAGTAGAAACCTTCTTTGAAATTTTTTAAAAAATATTTTTTAGTTGTAGATGGACGCAAATACCTTTATTTATTTATCTTTATGTGGTGCTGAGGATTGAACCCAGTGACTCACCCATGCTAGGTGAGTGCTCTACCACTAAGCCACAAACCCAACTCCCTTACTTTGAAAATTTGATCTTTTCCTGCGTAGTGATRTGCAGTTTAATACTCTGGTGGTGGTGGGCTAATTCCCAGTTAGCCATTTGTTTACAAGGAGAAACGCAATGTACTACGTTGCTAAACTGTGATGTTTGGTATATGAGGTATCTTAAATGCATTTCCAACTTATAGTGTTTTCAATTTAAATAATGGGTTTTGGGGATGGAATCCTATTGTGAGTCAAGGAACATATATGTACCTCCCTTTACCTCTCCATCTTTCTTTCCTTTTCTCAAAAGTAGATATTGCATAATAATTATGTTGTACTTAACAACATTTTGCAATTTTCATACCAACTTCACAGACATACATTTCAGTCCTAGAATCTCCTCTGTCACGTCTATAGGTAGGTATTAAGAAAGAGAAAATACAGACTCAGAAATGCCATAGCTGGGGATGTAGCTCAGAGGTAGAATACTTGGCTAGCATGCTTGGCCCTGGGTTTGATTCCCTGCACCACCAAAAATATATAAATAAAAAACTCTCCTTTTTTCTAATAATTAAATTTCTGCATAAGAGTGCCCTGGACATCAAGATGAACAGTTTGAATCTCATATTTAAAATCTAGAACCTTCTTTATTCAGTTCCAGAAGAAGAAAATTAGGCCTTTCTTCTTTCCTAGCATAGTTAGTAGCCTTAAATATTTAGAGTTTCTGTTGCTTTAAATTGCTTTCTAGTCACCTTTGGCGGTGGGTGGGGAGGGATGCTTTCTAAGTTTGTTCTCTACCACTTGATTTTTACTTTTTTGTTTCAATAACAAACCAAAAGGAAAACAAAAGGTAGAAAACATTGGCTCACCAAACTCATTATTTGACCTTAGTGTTCAAAGTAGTTCATCTAATGGAAAATGGTTTCTTTCTAGCCAAGGCTCAGAAATGGCTTCACGAGGACGGGAACTGGCTAATCATTTCCAGAGTGAAGGCACTCCAGTAATGATTGGTAAGGTATCTTGAACATCTTGGGCTATTTTGATAGAGCGGAAAATGTGTGAAATGACTTAGTAATACTTAAATGTTGCATAAAATAAGTCATTTTAAACATTTTAAAATTAAATTCTATACCATAATATTAGCTCTCTGGATATTTTAAAAATTTACAAGGTTCTTGACAGGTTGTAAAAAAGATTATAATAACAAAAAGAAAAGCTAAGAAAAGAAACCGATAACTATATTTAAACATTTGGAAAACTAAGAGAAGTATTAAAAAGGATAAAGCTGCAGTGGCACACACCTATAATCCGAGCAGCTTGGGAGACTGAAGCAGGAGGATCAAAAGTTCAAGGCCAGCCTTAGCAACTCAGTGAGGCCTTGAGCAACTTAGCAAGATCCTGTCTCTAAATAAATAAATAAAAAGGACTGGGAATGTAGCTTAGTGGTAAGGTACACCTGCATTCAAGCCCCAATAGCCAAAAAAAAGAGGAGATGGTCACTTGACTAGACATCAAAAGTCATGGCTCAGTCACTTGGCTATCTGTGTGACACTGTGCAAATGACTGAACCTCTCYGGGCTTTATTTGTAGAATAAGAATATTGGGTTGGTTGATCAAAAGATTCATGAGTCTCTGAAGAGGCAGAAAGAGTAGGTAGGCAATATCATTGGAGATATCAGAGCAAATACAGCAGAGGCTCCACGGCAGTGATTATTCTGTTGGGAGGAGTTTGGAGCCTTATCCAATTTAGATAATTTAAAGGATATGGCAGCAGAATACAAGCTTTATGTGATTATGAATACAGGTTGCATCTTTCACGTGTCAAGGATAAAATTTTACCTTTTCAGAGTATATTTGACATCATGGTCTTTTACAATTAGGGTAATGAATTTTAATGCTATTTAGGTCAATAAGTAGGCAAAATAATCTGTCTCTTTATTTTAAAATATAATGGCAGTTTGAGATTGGTTTATGCCTCTGGTATGTCATGTCTTCTCTAGGAGGAGGAGTCTTAGCCCACACAATACTAGGAGTTGCATGGAATGAGACGACAGGGCAGATAAAATTTCTGATTCTAGATCCACATTATACAGGCGCTGAAGATCTGCAAGTTATTCTGGAAAAGGTAAGTATCCATTTAACACAAATTTAGCAACAAAGCCAAGAACTCAGAAATGAAGGATAGCAAACTAGATATCAACAGAAAGATGACAAGCTGAGGGCAGTGAGGAGGCATTCTAAGGCTATCATGAGTAACTGTCTATATAGGGAGACTAGAAGGACAAAGTCAGTTGGAAAAGATAAAATTTAGGTTAAATTTGTAAAACCTTTCTCAGTTTTTATATTTAATAATGGAACACAAAGTTCATAAATATATTACTTTAGAGATTTTATAGCTTTATACAAATAAATACATCCAGGTTTACTGATGACTTAAAATATAAGGGTAGAACATATAAACTTTTATAATTTTAAAATTAACTAGAAATAGCCAAGCAAAATGCTGGAGATTATGGAGGACTGACTGCTTTTGATTTATTTACATATAACCTGATCTTATTCTATAGAGATTTTGAAGTTGAGACCAACTCAAGAATATTTGTTGATGTTTTACAATATCAGTTAAAACAAGAATTAATTTAAATTGATTTATAGGGAATTCTCACATATGAAAATTGAGTACTAAATCTTCAGGAGACAAGTATTTTAAGCCATAATTAAGCCAAATTTTAAATAACAATTATTAAAATTACAAAGAACGCATACAACCTTTTAAATCATCAACTAATGAATGTATCCTACTATTTTATTTTTTTTAAACTTTATTTTATTTTTTTTTAAAGAGAGAGTGAGAGAGGAGAGAGAGAGAGAGAGAGAGAGAGAGAGAGAGAGAGAGAGAGAGGGAGAGAATATTTTTTTTTATAATTTTTATTTTTTAGTTCTCGGCGGACACAACATCTTTGTTGGTATGTGGTGCTGAGGATCGAACCCGGGCCGCACGCATGCCATGCGAGCGCGCTACCGCTTGAGCCACATCCCCAGCCCCCCTACTATTTTATTACTCATTCATTACTCTTCATTTTTGTCATGTTTTCCTTAGGTCAGTATCATCAGTATCAAAGAAAGGTTTCTCTGAACTTTGTAGTTGGAGTTTAATTAGGTCACTTTTTGCAAAGAATGGGATGGTTTTAACATTGAAATTCATTGGTGAGGTATTTTCAGAAATTAAAAAAAAAAAATGTAATTACACCTTTCTAAAGCCCTAAGGATAAAAAGTCAGCAATCCTGAAAGAAAGGCACGGGCTGCTCCAAGAACTTACAGGAGTTAGATGTGCTCAGAGCAAGCTGCAGAAGTGTGGCTGGAGAGACAGGCAGGAGCTAAAGCCAGGCAAGAACCCCAGGAAAAGCCTTATTTTCATCAGGGGAGTGACATAGATATTACTTCTTTACCACAGGCTTGAGGTGCTTTGCACTAGATGGAATTATCTATGTAAGATTTTCTGAAGTAATTAGAGGAAGTCAGGTTGTCTCCGATTGCTTTTTCTATAAATTGCAGTCTCCTCCTTTTGGGCTATTTTGATAAAGTGGAAAATGTGTGAAATTAATTAGTCATATTTAAATGTTGCATAAAATAAGACATTTTAAAATATGTTTTCAAAAAATATGTTAACATTATTTTAGGAGTTATATTTCTGTAGAACTCTGCAATAGCAGGAACCCCCTTGACGCACAGTGCTTAGAAGAAACTATGAAGCCAAAGCCAAGTGCAGCCATCAGTAGAATTTTGACTGTCACTTGATGCAACAGTCTAAGAGGCAATTCTGCCTCTTCTGTTCCTCTTTACCCTCTTGTGGAGCTTTCCTGTTTACATTCCCAGGCCAGTCATCTCCAAGAAGCATCGTCCTCCATATACTTGCCTTTTGGCACATTCTCCACCCATTTCTCATTTAAAAAAAAAAAAAAATTGGATCTGGTTGCCAGGAGAAAACCTACATGTCTGAAAGTATCAGAAAAGGTTAAAACAAAAATGGTATAAGCCTTTTTATATATGTCTGTTAAGAAAACAGATTTTAGGGCATTGAATTAAAGTTTGGTGAAAAACACAYGCCAATAAAATAGATTATTAATGTATAGAAACGTCTAATACATGGTAATCCAAACTTAATGGTGGTTGCCTAAGGAGAGGATTTTTTTTCACTTTGATCATGTTTGAATTTTTACAATGTATGTTTTTGCAATCAAAACAAAAAACAGGTGGTGCACACCTGTAATCCCAGCGGCTCAGGAGGCTCAGGCAGGAGGATCATGAGTCCAAAGCCAGCCTCAGCAACTTAGCGAGGCCTAAGAACCTCAGCAAGACCCTGTCTCTAAATAAAATACAAAAATGGGCTGGGGATATGCTCAGTGATTATGTGCCAGTGGTTCAATCCCTGACCCCCTTCTTAAAAAAAAAAAAAAATTTAAAAGATCTTTTCCAGTAAGACCTCCCCTCTCTCTACACACACACACACAAACACACACACACACACACACACACACACACACAAAATGGAGCTAAGACACTATCTTTTATAGCCACTCTAAATTTTAGCCAGAATATCCTGACTTAGTTAAAAGAATAAGATGACTATTTTTCTTTCCATGGTATCTGAAGAGTCCTCATCTAGCCTCTTCCCAATTATTTCTCAAAGCATTTCATTCTGAAACAACATAAACCGGTCATCAGCTTTTTCTTCTTTAATAAATCAGTGGTCCTAGAAGAAATTTTATAAACTTTCATATAATCATATGATTTTGTTTGAAAGTAATTTTGTCTGCATGAGAAAAGGATTAATACTGACATGAAGAATGGCAAGTAGAAATGATTATAGCCTGAGGAAAAAGAAAGAACACAGAGTACAGCTCATGGGGCAAGATCAGTTTCTCACTACCATGTTTCATCCTATCTAGGATACAACCAAATAAGCTATACTTGTTATTGACTGCCAGAGATATAAAACTATGCATCTTAGGACCCATGAAGTGTGTGGTATCTGAACTAACAATTACTATTAGGAAGTTTTTCTTTTTTGATAATTTCTGTGACTAAATAATCTAGGATTAAAAGTTTAAAATCTGGGTTGGGGTTGTGGCTYAGCAGCAGAGYGCTCGCCTAGCATGTGCAAGGCCCTGGGTTCCATCCTCAACACCACATAAAAATAAACAAAATAAAGGTATTGTCTCTAACCAAAAAATAAATATTAAAAAAAAAGTTTAAAATCTGTGTTGAAAGGACCCAAATAAGTTACTTTTCTACAGTTAGAAAACCCTTGAATTATATAGGTATTGGAGTCCTATTCCAGAGCTTTGTGCTGCAATTTCTAGTGAGTGGTCTTAAAACTTAGTAAAATGTTTTCCTTTCCCTTTTCCCAAATCCAGGGCTGGTGTGGATGGAAGGGCCCAGACTTTTGGAACAAGGAAGCTTACTATAACTTATGTCTTCCTCAGCGACCAAATACTATTTAAATTATCTTGGACTCAAAGACTATAGTAAAATGGTATTATAAACTTGTTAATAAAAAATTTTAATTTCAAAGTAAATCCTGAGTGTAGTTTGATATTGAACTATTACCTTTTGCAAACATAATAACTATTGCACAGTTTATTCTTTAGACATTCCTTTAATAACATAAAAAGACAACATGCACAACCAAAATATTACAGGCATGTAAATACATGTATTCTTAAATATTCTCTTCACTTGGAAGAAAGTTTTCCTCCTTCTCAGRAGTTTAGACACATACAGTATGCCAAAAGCCATCACTTGTACATCTGCATGGATGAATCCCTTCTTCATGTGGCTTCATAACCAACATGACATCTGTTTTCAAAAAATATGTTAGCATTAAAAACATTTTTAAAAAAATGTTTTCTCCCCAAATTTCCACTATGCAGAATAAATGTTAGTCTCTAGAATCTAGTAGTAGTAGTAGTAAACTATAATCAGTATTAAAATATTAATGAAGAGATAATCCTAGAAATAAGAATATCAATATTTAAGTGAAACAATAAATTCTATGCTAGAAAAGAGAATCTTGAGTAAGAAAGGAAGAATCAGCTATAAGTGACTTACCAGCACCTCCTTTTCCCATTTGTATTTTCTGTACTTCCAAAACTTCGTTTCTGTCTGAACTTTGGAACACAGTGATCCCCGTCAGATTGTTCATTTGATTTTATTGTCTGCATACATTTAATTGTTGTAAGAAACTTAGCACATTCCGGAAATCCACATGACCAAGCAAGATCTTCAGCTGTTTGCCCATTCTTATTACATAAACTGAAATTAGACAAAAATTGAATTAAATAAAAATTGATAATTGTTTGGTCTTTTTATTTATATCTCTTTAATAAAGGAATTTGGGACTTATACCAATGTCGGCGGCAAAAATCAAAGCAATATTAAACTGGGGGTGTGTAGCTCAGTGGAGGTCCTGTGTTCGATCCCTAGCAGGCACACGCATAAACTTGTAAAGGACGCTGAGGGAAATTTTGCTTTTGCTCACTGTTGTATCCTTAGTGGCTCGAAAATTCAGCCCAGAATGGGCACTCCATTGTATTTATATTTCATTGTTGAATGAACGCAAGAGTATTTGGTGTTTAATACAGTGTATGAGTACCCAAATGTAGTCAATGAGAAAAAGTGGAATRCTGCTATAAAGAACAGAATTGCACCTGTCATTGCTTAGGATCTATTTTTTTTCACTTACTCCAATTGATAGTATTAGATATCACTAATAGCTTAGATAAACATTTAAATAACACTAAATTACCAATTAGGTAAGCATTATTTTCAAAATCATGTTCTTAAGCTTGAGGAGTCTGATTACTTTAATCGAAGAAAACAAAATTTGAAGCCACTGATTTTATACTTACTCAATTTGGGCATCACTGGCTACAAGCAGGCTAAGGCATTCCAGGCTTCCAACTTTCGCTGCCTTGTGGAGTGGAGCTTCTCCCAAAACATCCTTTAGGTTAAGAGGGCACATTTTAGTCCCCAAAACTATAAAAGCTGTTAAGTGAAGTCTAATATCAGCTATTTGAAGAAGCCAGTTAGAACTTCATTACATGGACTGAATTTTTAAATTTAAAAACTTTTCCCTTAGCATGCTATTTAATACAAAGTTTTCATTAATAAAAAATGTATATAACCACATCCACACACTAAAATTTAAGTGAATACAAACAAAATAAGTTCTACAGAWGTCAAAAAATTTAAGGTCTGTAGAAAACTGTAAAGGTTGTGAGCTTGCCTCCCGAGTATTATTTCAGTTGCTATATTGAGGCTTTTGAAATGTAGCAATTCTGTTGAAATAAACCACAAACTTATGTTGTCCAATGTTATAGCTAATAGCTACTAATGGCTATGAAATGTAGCTATATTGAATTGAGATTTGCYGTAAGAGTAAAATACATACCAGATAGTGAAATATATGAAAAAGAAAATGTAAAAGTTAATAATTGTTTCATATTGATTAGACAGTGAAATTACACCTCAGATAAATCATGATAAATGACTAAAATTAACCTCGTTTCATTCTAYTTTAACATAGATACTAGAAAGTTTTATATATGTATCTCGCATACTTCTGCTACAGTCATGCTACAGACCTGTCTGTAACAACTGTAACAACTGAAACAACTGAATGTTCTAGCAGCTAGGAAATGTTTGTGGATTTGCGGTGGAGGGGAGGGCTGTACACAGCAACAGTTACCTAGTTACCTGTTGGTTGAGATCAGCACCTGTTTGCAGCTGCCAGAGAAGAAAGTAAACAAGGCCGCCACCTGCGGCCAAGTGGACAGGCGACTGCTCCCAAGGATCCGGGGGTGCATTGACAGAAGCCCCCGCCTCCAGCAAATACTTCAGGCTATCCACCTGTGGGAAGAGAACAGATTCAATACCCGTCTATCTCCTTGTTCAGTCCTGAGACCTCTCAGGGGTTGGAAATCTTTCCCACTGCAAAAACCCTTCCAACTCTAGCAAGGCTTGATTTGGCAGCGCTCAGCAGTCCGCTCCTGTCAAACTGAGAAGAGAGACATCTAGTAACTTTAGTCTGCAGGGACAAAAGAGTCCAAGTCTCACCTCCAGATCGCAATCAAGCAACAACATCTCCCGTCTARAGCAGTGGACAAGAGTCTCTCTCGGAAGCGTAGAGAGGTGGGACACTCGCTGCAGACTAGCAGGTGAGTGCACAGGGCAGCCCAAGTGCGCGAGAATTTAAAGACTGCCGGGGCTAGCGGGCGGGTCCTTTGCTCCCGCGCCCCAGCAGCCTAACCCTCAGCTGCGGGAACTTTACCAGGCCTGCTGCTGCCGCTGCACGTACACAAACATTAACACGTGCGACCCGGAACCCTACAAAACAAGCTGAAGGGGGAGAAGGGGCAGGAAATGCGAGTCTGTTCGCCGATTGGCCGGCCCAGGCGGTTCTGGACCCGCCCACTTGGGGGCGGAGCCTTTGTCCTCCCAAAAAGAGTCCCAATACGCATGCGCCGTGAAGGAAGTGGGTGGGAAAGATTTYAACCCGGGTTGGGGTTCAGCGGCCGCCATGAGACTCGCATGRGCTGACACGTAGTCCGCCACCGTGCCAAACTCTTTAATCCCTCTGGAAAAGCGGCAGTCGTGGGTGAAGGTTTTGGTGGCTGCGTGCACGCACGTAACCAGGAAAGAGGGAACTATAAGTAGCATCCGCCTACACCGCCTCTGGAAGCCGTTCTKTGCGGTGCTGGCGCCGCGCCCGCCCCCGCCCCAGCTCGGCAGGAAAGAGTGCCTTCTGCCCCGGGTTGGCTCAGCCTCGTCCCGGCGCTCCCAGGACATTCAGGAAGGAAAGCCAGAGTAGGGCCGTTGGAGGGCAGCCTAAAGTGAACCCGAGGGATAGCTYTTACCACAGGAACTGCCCCTTTCCAAAATTAAATGAATTATCAGGCGAGGCCCGTTGGGCTTAACGTGAGACCATGCCCACAGTGGGACTTCCTGTGAAGCAAGCCACCGCCACCCGTTGTAACGTGTCCCCTGGTGGACAGCTGAAACCSCTACCGACTGCTTGCCTGTTAAAACCAGCGACCAAGCCAATAAATATAAGGACAGGGTAGCACAGAGGAGGAAACCTGATGGCCCTCACCCTGATGATCTGGACAGGTCTAAGGGGACCTGGGCCATTGGACGGCCAAGACATAGAGGGTCTCTTCTTGGTGGGCAAGGCTAAAGCTATAAACCTGGGGGTTGAAATAGCTGCCTTGGAGCTCTTGATACTATTTAGCTGGAGTCATTCCTCTTTGTAAAACTTCAGAAASGGAGGGACTTCAAATTGTAGCCACTGACATCCGTGTCTCTCTCTTGACTCTCTTGCCATTAAGTCAGAAAGATTTCAGACATGTGGCTCAGGGTCACGGCCTTAAATTTATTGAAGGGATAGGAAAAGGAACACTCTAAAGATTAGAGAGAGTGGGTCCTCTCAGAGRAGAGAGGGACAGTGTTCTTCTCCTGTACTCCAGTTTATGGGGGAACCCAGAGGAGTTTTCAGAGTCCCACCCAGGTCCATCTATCGACTTTTGACTGACAACTAAATGAAATCAGCCTTTTAAGTCTCCAGTGCCCTGCTGACTAGGTTACTTTGGCACAAGCTGACCAGTTCTAATTGATTATAATTCTGACAGATTTTACAGTTAGGAGGAATTATCTTTATCTCTCTGAGTTTCAGGATCTGGTCTGTGAAAGGGGACCAGACAAGGGTCTGTGAAAAGGGATCACAAAAGTCTCCCCCTTCAGGGTAACTGGGATTCTCTTACCATTATTTGGGGCCTGCATTTCTCTTGCAGGTAGCAGGTAGTTTGCCAAGAAATGTGACATACCTTTTCCACTTAATCCAGGCAGCGCTGAAGGAAAATTGCTTCKTGGAAAATAAAGCATTTGGGRATTAGCACAGTGGCCCATTTTATAGAAATATTCCCTAACCTCATGTTCCTGCCATTTGCATCTGTCTACCCCCATCAGCCATATATGTCCTCCCTCTAAAATCTTCAGGGATTCGATTCTATGTAGGAAGACTGAAAAATAAGTGTGTTCGTTAGGCTTTTAGAGGATAAGCTCACTGTCCTGTAAAGATGAGTAGTTTTTCAGTTCTAATTTTCATTAAAATATTTTTGTAATGARAGCCATAAAATAATTTGGAATAAATTTGTTATTAAATTTGTGCAGTAACCCACAGAGTAGTTTTAAACAAAATTTTAATTCATATGAATCTTTGAACATAAATTGGTATACTGATTTTCAAACACATACTTAGAATGGTACTAAATATATTTTTGATACTTAATTATTCACAGTACCTTTTAAGTAGCACTGCAGTGATATTGTCAGAGATAAGGCAAACAGATAACCATATTGCCAATTTCCTTTTTTATTCTGTTTGTCAATTAGATAAGCTCCATTTCTAAAAGAACATGTAATTAAGCTTCAGGTTTGCAAATATGTTCATATTTAGAAAGCTATCATAAGAGAAATCCTAAAGAGTTCTAAACATGTACCATGCAATTAATGCATATAATGGGATATTATTTATGATGAAAGTACCTCCATATCCTTTTTTAAAAAAAATAAGATTATGTTTAGAGTGCATTAAATCTGATAATTATTTTAAAATTCCTTTTATATGTGTCAGTTTTTCAGGGAAAGGGAATTTTGTACTTGTTGCATCTTTTTTCCTTTTATCACTGAATACTTGTCTATCCAACAGGGTGRGGGAAACATTGGAAAGGTTTTAAGAGGTTCAGTAAACTTGTCTAAAGTCTTGTTGATAAATTATTAAGGGATGGAGGTGTAATTTGTGCTTAGGCAGTTTGACTCTAGAGCCCTYATTCTTATCATTCCTATACAACTTAGAGAATTGATCATCTTTGGTAAATTGTTACTAAGATTAAAGCAGAAGAAATGTCAAGAAAATTATTATTATAATTGATAGAAAAACAATATTTTCATTTCATAATGGCTGGGCTGTTAATGTAGCTTTGACCCTGGAATTTAATAATCTACCTAATGCCTACTATTCAAGAAATTCCTTTGAAATAAATGAATGAGTATGTGTCCATAGGTGAAAATTATAAAATATAAGTGGAATAATAGATAATCTGATTTCATCTATTTTCTGTTTGCTTTTATTTACCAAAGAACCTGAAAAACATTTCATAAATGCACAGCATTGAAAAAAGGAATAATTGGAAATACCTACTAATCCCCCATTTATCACTATTATGTAACATTTAATTAAATTGTACACATTTAGTAATAAAGCCATTGAAAATTTTAACTCTAATTCAAGTGAAGAGATATAGTAAAACTAAAGATCTCAATAAGTGGCCTAATTTCACATATAAAAATATCCAGTCTTTTGAGAAGCACAAACTTCTTGGGAAAGGTGACAGATTGTATAGTTATTCCAAGTAACTACTGCACCTGGATATTGTAGGCAGAAATATATTCTCTTTCAATGACAATTTCTTCAGAGTCTATAATTACAAAAATTCTGCTAGTTTCAATGGTAACATTTAARTAGTCATTCTTCAGTGCTTGATAAGAACTTGAAAGACTTGAGGGGGTTTTATTATTTTGTCATTTCTCCTGATCATATAGTCCTTTTGATGAGAGGTACAATTTACAGATAATAAATTTATAACAGAGTGGAGTAGGGAAAAGGGTATAAAGTCCTTAAAATTAGACTTGTATATGGGAGAGCCAGGTTTCTCATTCTTAAAGACGGAAGTTTCAGATAATTAAGTATAAAAGGTTAAAATGAGTCATATGGTACTGAATTTGTTGGAGACATCAGTAAGAACTCATAGATTCATAAATACAGATTCAGAAGGATGGTGGAGAAAGAATTTTATGTATGATACATACATAGATTGGGAGACATAACATTTTCTTGCTCTGCCTGCCTTATAGAGCCTAGAAGCAGTGACCACAATAGCAGTGAACATATCAAGCACTCACGCTATTCTCCAATAAAGGAAACCAGGGCTCTTTGGAGAAACAGCTGATCCTAAAGTTGGACAGGGAAAATATGAGTCTAGAGCTTCTTGTAGTGCCAGAAAGTAAAGAAATGCTCAGTAAACAAAAGAATAAGAGGCATATGTTAAGGGGATATTGGAGCCAACCTGAAAGAGCTCAAAAAAGGCCAAAACTGGGAAAACTTGAGCAGCAAACTAGTTTTGGAAAACTCCATAATATAGATATCCATGAGTTCACAGTGACATAAATAATTGAATAAATGGAGAGAAAAGATAGCACTTCTTGGAAGAATTCRAAATAGTTCACATAGATACATCCTCCACACCTTCCTCCTTGAATGTGGATATACATAACTTGTTTCTGAAGAGTAGAATATGGGAAGGGGAAAAACTAAGTGGAGAAACCTGTCAAATATTACATTGGCATGTAATTGTTAACATCATTATCAGTAAATCGTGTTGATAGTATGAGCCCCTGATATGATGTGATAAGAAAACCACTCCCCCTCTGTGATAGTCTTTCCCCCATGCCCATAACTTAAGTCTAACCATGAGTAAATCACCACATAAACCTACATTGGGAGATTCTACAGAATACTCTTCAAAATTGTCAAGATCATGACAAACAGGAAGGTTTGGAAACTATCACAAAACAGGATGAAAGTGAGACATGATGACAGATTGCAATGTGGTAACCTAGATGGCATCCTGAAACAGAAGATTATGGTAAATTTACCAATGACRAGCTGGGCATAGTGGCGCATGCCTGTAATCCCAGCAGCTGGGGAGGCTGAGGCAGGAGGATTGCAAATTCAAAGCCAGCCTCAGGAACAAGATGCTAAGCAACTCAGAGAGACCCTGTCACTAAATAAAATACAAAATAGGGCTGGAGATGTGACTCAGTGATCAAGTGCCCCTGAGTTCAATCCCCGGTACAAAAAAAAAAAAAAAATGTACCAATGATGTTTTCTGAGTTGTGATAAGTGCCATAAAAATGTGATGTTAGCACTGGTGGTAGTGCACACCTGTAATCCTAGTAGTTGGGGAGGCTAAGACAGGAGGATTGTATGTTCAAAGCCAGCCTCTGCAATTTAGTGAGGCTCTACAATCAAATTGTTTAATATTCCTGTGCTTTATGCAAGAAAGGTAACTCTAAGCTGTTCACAGTTTACCACTACTTTAAAAACTGCTTCAGGCCCTACATGAAAAGATTAGAATGTAACTATATTTTGTGAGTTTTAAGATATAGTGTGTATGGTACACTCATATACTCTTAATAATCTCCACTTTGACTCATGTTTAATATCAACTACCCAATAATAGTACATAAGAGGATTCCAACAGCATGTATGTGCA